CGTCTGAAAAGTTTTGAGCCTAACATAGAAACAAGTAATTTTTCGGTCAAATTCAATTTTGTTTTTCCACATAGTCTCCTTTTAAGTCGATACATTTTTTTCCAGCGATGCTCATACCCCTTTAATCCATTCAAATAATACTGAGCGTCTTGCTTTGCAAAATAGGCTTCTACGGATGCGATGACCTCCTCGTTCCATGAAAATTTCTGTCCTCCGAGCTAAACTTTAAGCCTAGGAAACAGAAAAATGTCGCTGGGGGCCAGATCTGGAGAATACGGTGGATGGTCAATTAATTCGAACCGCAATTCGTGAATTTTTGCCATAGCGACCGCCGAAGTGTGAGACGGTGCGTTATCTTGATGGAACAGCACTTTCTTCTTTTTCAAATGCGGTCGTTTTTTCTCAATTTCTGCCTTCAGCTTGTCAAGCAATGATGCGTAGTACAGTTGTTATTGTTTTACCTTTTTCAAGATAGTCGATCAACACAATTCCATAACTGTCCCAAAAAACAGTCGCCATCACCTTTCCCGCCGATAAAACCATCTTCGCTTTCTTCGGAGCAGGTTCACCCTTCGCAGTCCACTGTTTTGATTGTTCTTTCGTTTCTGGAGTGAAGTGGACCCAAGTTTCATCAACCGTTATTAATCGACGCAAAAAATCCGACTCGTTTCGTTTAAACCTTTCCAACAGGGCCTTAGAAATGTTCATTCGAATGCGTTTTTGATCGAGAGTGAGCAAGCGCGGCACCCAACGCGCGATTAACTCACGCATGCTTAATTCTTCAGTCAATATATGACAAACACGTTCTTTTGATATGCCAACAGTCTCTGCTATCTCCCTTCGACTCTTAATTCGACGGTTGTCCATTATCATTTGATGAATTTCTTCGATGTTATCGGTGGTGGTCGAAGTTGTTGACCGTCTCGAACGCTCATCATCAGCTAAGCTAGTACGACCATGTTTAAATTCAGCTACCCATCTTTTCACGGTGGCAAATGATGGGGCAGAGTCCCCGTAAACAGCGTCCAACTCGGCTTTAATTTGCGTAGACGTATTGCCTTTCAAATGCAAGAATTTAATTATAGCACGATATTCAATTTTTTCCATTTTTACAAAATGATGACACAAATGATTTTCAAACAAGAACTGAACGTCCAAAGTGGCCGCAATTGTCACAGATATTTTTTTGTAAAGCCAGCGGCACACGATGCTTTTTTTCCTGCTGGATTGCTTGCGTGCTACTGTGCTGGCAATCTGACTGGCTGCTATGCTGGAAATTGTATGGCTTGCAGGCCCCGCTGTTGGCTGATCCGCTGGATTTTCGTGATAGAACCGGTGCTATTTTTCTTGCTTGATTTCATGCTGGCTTATTGTAGAACCAATCACGACACCGCTTCATTTGAAGATGGCCGCTAGGAAGCGTGTAAACCATCGACATCTACAATGGACCGCTGATGGCAATGGTGGGGGTAGAAAGACGATTAGAGTGAGAGGCAGGAATAATAAGATCGTTCTTTCTCTGTTTACTGAAGCCTGATTGG